GGACATCCCATACTTTATTTATCCACCAGTGGATGGATATTGGGCGTTTGTCCACTTTTGGGCTACTGTGAATTGACTGATGCTGCTGTGAACACTCATGTACAAGTTTTTGTGTAGACCTATGCTTTCATTTTTCTTGGTTATATACAAAGGATTGGAATAGTTGAGTCACATGCTAACTCTGTTAACTTTTGAGGAAGTGCCAGGGAAGCTGTTCATTTTCTAGACATTCTGATGATCCGGAATTAACAAATGTCTAATTTGACTTTCTATTTCTATGAAACTACTGTTTAGTGATGAGATTATTTTATTTATAAAGTGAGGGATAGAAAGTCAAGAGCTGCTTTATTTTCTATACTTCTTTTATTCACAACAAATGATTCTTTAAAGTTATATTATTATGGAGACCTTGGCCAAGTTCAACTGACAAACAATTTTAGAAATGTTATTACAGCTACAATAAAAAAAATGTTCACTATAAGTAGTATGGCTTAAATTATGTGGCTGAATTAAAAACTCCAGTGTCTAAAATAAACTTGAATGCCTACATCACAGACCCCAAAAACTTCTGTGTAGAAAAGAACTATTGGTACAGTTTGTTAGAAAAGCCAAATTCTAGGCTCTGCCCCTAAGAGATTATGATCTAGTAGGTCAGGAGTGGGGACTAGGAATTACTTTTAACAACGTTCCTCAAATACGCACAGGTGATTCTGATGCAGGCTCCAGTCTGGCCAAAGTGTGCAGTTTCCTTATTTTCTTCATGGGCCATGCTGACAATGTCACCCTGATTCCTGTTTTCTATAGAAATACTTTTTTAATATCTTAAGTCTCACTCATCTTCTAAATCCTTCTTGAATGAAGAATTTAGAAAAAAATTCTTTTCTTCCTTTCTACCTAAGACGTTTAGGCCTCAGTTCAGTTCACTTCATTTCAGTCACTTGGTCGTGACTGACTCTTTGCGACCCCATGAACCGCAGCATGCCAGGCCTCCTTGTCCATCACCAACTTCAGGAGTCCACTCAAACTCATGTCCATTGAATCGGCAACGCCATCCAACCGTCTCATCCTTTGTCGTCCCCTTCTCCTCCTGCCTTCCATCTTTCCCAGCATCAGGGTCTTTTCAAATGAGTCAGCTTTTTGCACCAGGTAGCCAAAGGACTGGAGTTTCAGCTTCAACATCAGTCCTTCCGATGAACACCCAGGACTGATCTCCTTTAGGATGGACTGGTTGGATCTCCTTGTAGTTTAAGGGACTTGCAAGAGTTGTCTCCAACACCACAGTTCAAAAGCATCAAGTCTTCAGCACTCAGCTTTCTTTATGGTCCAACTCTCACATCCACACATGACCGCTGGAAAAACTATAGCCTTGACTAGACGGATCTTTGTTGGCAAAGTAATGTCTCTGCTTTTTAATATGCTGTCTAGGTTGGTCATAACTATCCTTCCAAAGAGCAAGCATCTTTTAATTTCATGGCTGTAATTACCATCTGCAGTGATTTTGGAGCCCCAGAAAGTAAGGTCAGCCACTGTTTCCACTGTTTCCCCATCTATTTCCCATGAAGTGATGGGACCAGATGCCATGACCTTAGTTTTCTGAATGTTGAGCTTTAAGCCAACTTTTTCACTCTCCTCTTTCACTTTCATCAAGAAGCTTTTTAGTTCCTCTTCACTTTCTTCCATAAGGGTGGTGTCATCTGCATATCTGAGGTTATTGATATTTCTCCCGGCAATCATGATTCCAGCTTGTGCTTCTTCCAGCCCAGCATTTCTCATGATGTACTCTGCATATAAGCTAAATAAGCAGGGTGACAATATACAGCCTTGATGTGCTCTTTTTCCTATTTGGAACCAGTCTGTTGTTCCATGTCTAGTTCTAACTGTTGCTTCCTGATCTGCTTACAGGTTTCTCAAGAGGCAGGTCAGGTGATCTGGTATTCCCATCTCTTTCAGAATTTTCCACAGTTTATTGTGATCCACACAGTCGAAGGCTTTGGCATAGTCAATGAAGCAGAAATAGATGTTTTTCTGGAACTCTCTTGCTTTTTTGATGATCCAGCGAATGTTGGCAATTTGATCTCTGGTTCCTCTGCCTTTTCTAAAACCAGCTTGAACATCAGAAGTTCATGGTTCACGTATTGCTGAAGCCTGGCTTGGAGAATTTTCAGCATTACTTTACTAGCGTGTAAGATGAGTGCAATTATGCAGTAGTTTGAACATTCTTTGGGATTGCCTTTCTTTGGGATTGGAATAAAAACTGACCTTTTCCAGTCCTGTGGCCACTGCTGAGTTTTCCAAATTTGCTGGCATATTGAGTGCAGCATTTTCACAGCATCATCTTTTAGGATTTGAAATAGCTCAACTGGAATTCCATCACCTCCACTAGCTTTGTTAGTAGTGATGCTTTCTAAGGCCCACTTGACTTCACATTCCAGGATATCTGTATCTAGGTGAATGATCACACCATCGTGATTATCTGGGTCGTGAAGATCTTTTCTGTACAGTTCTTCTGTGTATTCTTGCCACCTCTTCTTAATATCTTCTGCTTCTGTTAGGCCCATACCATTTCTGTCCTTTATTGAGCCCATCTTCACATGAAATGTTCCCTTGGTATCTCTAATTTTCTTGAAGAGATCTCTAGTCTTCCCCATTCTATTTTTTCCCTCTATTTCTTTGCATTGATCACTGAGGAAGCCTTTCTTTTCTCTCCTTGCTATTCTTTGGAACTCTGCATTCAAATGGGAATATCTTTCCTTTTCTCCTTTGCCTTTCACTTCTCTTCTTCTCTCAGCTATTTGTAAGGCCTCCTCAGACAATCATTTTGCTTTTTTGCATTTCTTTTTCTTGGGGATGGTCTTGCTTCCTGTCTCCTGTACAATGTCACAAACCTCCGTCCATAGTTCTTCAGGCACCCTGTCTGTCAGATTTAGTCTCTTAAATCTATTTCTCACTTTCACTGTAAAATCAGAAGGGATTTGATTTAGGTCATACCTGAATAGTCTAGTGGTTTTCCCCACTTTCTTCAATTTCGGTCTGAATTTGGCAATAAGGAATTCATGATCTGAGCCACAGTCATCTCCTGGTCTTGTTTTTGCTGACTGTATAGAGCTTCTCCATCTCTGGCTGCAAAGAATATAATCAGTCTGATTTTGGTGTTGGCCATCTGATGATGTCCATGTGTAGAGTCTTCTCTTATGTTGTTGGAAGAGGGTGTTTGCTATAAACCAGTGTGTTCTCTTGGCAAAACTCTATTAGCCTTTGCCCTGCTTCATTCTGTACTCCAAGGCCAAATTTGCCTGTTACTCATATATATATATATATATATATATATATATATATAATTTTATCTATGCATTTACTGTCCTGTCTTATTGGCTATACGTGATTCAAAAATATATCTTATTTAGCAGCTAGACAGGAAGTGCCCTGAAGGTGAACCAGTGAACCAGTGAAGTTGCTCAGTTGTATCCGACTCTTTGCAACCCCACAGACTGTAGCCCACCAGGCTCCTCCATTCATGGGATTTTCCAGGCAAGAATACTGGCGTGGGTTTCCATTGCCTTCTCCAGGGGACCTTCCCAACCCAGGGATTGAGCCCAGGTTTCCCACACTGCAGGCAGACAGTTCTCCTTCTGAGCCACCAGGGAAGCCCCGCCCTGAGGGTAGAGAATGACGTATTTCTGTACTGCCCCTTCCTCACAGGTGCTGAGGACGCTGTGATACAAGACCTGAAAGTTCAAGAAAGACCTGCTTTCACATCTGCGAGTTTTGTAGGCCCCGAGTCCTAATCCCAACCTCTCCTGCCCTTGTCGGATGTGCCTCCCCACCCTGCTGGAAAGCTCCCCAGGTGGTGCTGGTGATGAAGAACCTGCCTGCCAACGAAGGGAACATAAGAAACACGGTTTCAATCCTTGGGTCGGGGAGATTCCTGGAGGAGGGCATGGCAATCTCGTCCAGTGTTCTTGCTGGAGAACCCCGTGGACAGAGGCTGGTGCGCTGCGGTCCACGGGTCACACAGAGTTGGGCACGACTGAGTGAGTCTGCAGACACCACAGGAAAGGCTCCCCGCCGTGGGATTCCCCATGAGTCAGATCGATGTGCCCCATCTGGTCTTCAGCCTAATGTGTTCAGTGCCCTGCCAGCCCACAGAACTGTTCTAACAAGCCCCCCACATTCTCCCTGGAGCCAGGGCTCACCCGGCCCTCCTGTTCCTACACAACCTGCATCTCACAGCCCCTGTGACTTGCTCCACACCTGCGGGAAGCCCCGTGCGGTCCCATGTGGTGGGTACCCTCCCCCAGCGAAGAGCACAGGTGAGTGACAGGCTCCGCCGTCTCACCGTCCAGACCAGGTGCTGTGCGCTCAGCCTCCTCTCACTCTTTGGACCTGGGACCCCTCCCTCACCCCAGGAGGTGATCAGAGCAGAGGGAGTTCTGCTCCGTTCTATGTGTTATTGGCTACATGACCATGCACTTGGAACAGAGGTTTCAAATAACAGCTTATTTTGACCTGTGTTATGTGCACATTCTTGGCCGGGAGGTAGGGTGCGTAGGAGGAGTTCAGCGGGAGGGAAATCAGGTGTTGGACTGAATTTCTAAAACCCAGTTGGGGGAAGAAAGAGAAATAAAACAGTCGTGAGTCACATTTTGTTTAAAACTGAGCAATCCAGCCTGATGGACAGATTCAGGCTGCCTTGTCGCCCAATACAGCCGCAACAACCTGCTTCTGCTCGCCTCCTCAGCGCTCCTTCCCCCAAATGGCATGTCACAGCCAAGCATATGTGGAGGGTGGTATTTACACAATATGGCTTTCCCTCCGAAGACTGCACGTTTTCTAGGGAGATGCTAAATATTCAGGGACATGCTTGTATTGTGTATTATTCATCAGAGAGTAATGTGTCGACATACAGAAGTCGAGCAACACTGGACAGGATGGCTGTATCCCCTCACAACAAGCAGAGGATAAACCACAGTTAGCACATCTCGCCCTCTGCAACGCCTCACCTTTCAAGGTGGCCTTCTTAAGAACCTTCATTGCATAGAGCTGTCCAGCATCTGATCCCTTGACTTTCCTCACCAAGAACACCTAAGGAGAGAACACAGGACATCTGCAGTTGTTAAGATGGCAACCTCATTTTCCTTATTTGATCTGACAAGGGGATACACTAGGGAGTGTGGGAAATCCCAATAAAATAAATATGCTATAGGAAAAACTTAAATGTAACATCTCCTCCAACATCTAAAAAAGTTTCATCTAATTTAGTACAACCCTATGAGGACCCATGCTATGTGTTCACCTTAACAATTATATTTGTTTTGGGCATCATTCTCTTTCTGTGAAACACTATATCAGAGGTAATTGTTGTTGTTGTTCAGTTGCTAAGTTGTGTCCAACTTTTTGCAGTCCCATGGACTGCACCATGCCAGGCCTCCATGTCCATCACCAGCTCCTGGAGCTTGCTCAAACTCACGTCCATTGAGTCGGTGATGCCATCCAACCATCTCATCCTCTGTTGTCCCCTTCTCCTCCTGCCCTCGATCTTTCCCAGCATTGGGGTCTTTTCCAGTGAGTCAGCTCTTTGCATCAGGTGGCAAAGAACTGGAACTTCAGCATCAGTCCTTCCAATGAATATTCAGGGCTGATTTCCTTTAGGATGGACTGGTTTCATCACTGTGCTGTTCAAGGGACTCTCAAGAGTCTTCTCCAGCAGTCTGACAGCAATCAGTTCTTTGGCACTCAGTCTTCTTCATGGTCCAACTCTCACATCTGTACATGACTACTGGAAGAACCACAGCTTTGACTACATGAAACTTTGTCAGCAAAGTGAGGTCTCTGCTTTTTCATGCACCGTCTGGCTTTGTCAAAGCTTCCCTTCCAAGGAGCGAGTGTTTTATAATTTCATGGCTGCAGTCATCTGCAGTGATTTTGGAGCCGAAGCAAACAAAATCTGTCACTGTTTTCATTGTTTCTCCATCTATTTGCCATGAAGTGATGGGACTGGATGCCACGATCTTAGTTTCCTGAATGTTGAGTTTTAAGCTAGCTTTTTCAGTCTCTTCTTTCACCCTCATCAAGAGGATCTTTAGTTCCTCTTCACTTTCTGCCATTAGAGTTGGTTTCAACTGCATATCTGAGGTTGTTCATATTTCTCCCAGCAATCTTGGTTCCAGCTTGTGATTCATCCAGCCTGGCATCTCCCATGATGTCCTCTGTATAGAGGTTACATAAGCAGGGTGACAGTATACAGCCTTGATGTACTCCTTTGCCAATTTTGAACCAGAATAGCACCTTCCTTTGAAAAACAGAACACTTGTTTAGAAAACCAAACTCTCTTCACAAGTTTTCAGGGAGATAGACCACTTGGTTTATTGCAAATATGCCCTGTAAATATCTACAGCAAAGCCTCCCCTGAGAGTCCCTGCCAGACAACACTGGACAGACTCTGACCCTCAAGAAGCTAGGTTCTCTCGTTTTCCTCATCCACGTTTTAGCTTCGAGTAGCTGAAGTTTACAGACAGAGCTGGTTCTAAGTGGCTCTTACATATTCTCATGTGGACACTTAACAACATTTGCTGGAACACATTTTGACATGTTCTGTGAGGGAAAACCAAGAAGAAAAGACAACCGTTTGAGAGGCTAAGCTTAAGAGTCACATTCATAATTGTTGAATGAGGTTAGTAAACAACCAACCAACCAGCCAACCTAGGGTATCCAGTAGGGAAGAAAAGGACCTCTGTGCAGATAGAAACAACAGTGCCCAATTTTTCTAACAGGACTTCCCAACGGGTGCAAACAGCTGCGGTCAAGACAGACACCCACACAGAGGACGCGCGTCCAGGAGGCAGGGGTGCTGCCCACGTGTCCCTGACGGGGGCCCTCACCGGCCTTCTCAGACGAGACCGGCCTCACAGAGACACAGGTTTCCGGCTCCGGAAGTTCACGCCCAAGTGTGGGGCTGTGGGAGGCTGCATCGTCACCCCCCACCCCAAACAGACTCAGGACACAGGGACGGCGGTGGGTGAGCAGCGGCCTGACGGCAGCGCAGACCAGTCTGCCCCGCCCATGGAAGACGCGGCCCTGCCCCCGGGAGATGAGGCTCCGCCCATGGGAGACATGACCCCGCCCATGGAAGACGCGGCCCCGCCCCCGGAAGACACAGCCCCCGCCCACGGGAGACGCGGCCCCGCCCCCGGGAGACATGACCCGCTCACGGGAGACGCGGCCCCGCCCACGAGAGACAAGTCCCGCCCTCGGGAGACATGACCCGCCCACGGGAGAGGCGGCCCCGCCCCCGAGAGAGGCGGCCCCGCCCACGGGAGACAAGACCCACCCACGGGAGACGCGGCCCCGCCCCCAGGAGACATGACCCGCCCCCGGGAGATGCGGCCCCGCCCATGGGAGACACGACCCGCCCCCGGGAGATGCGGCCCCACCCCCGGGAGACACAGACGGCCCCGCCCCCGGGAAATGAGGCAGGTCAGGAGGTGTCAGGCAGAGCAGCGGGATGGCCTCCTCGCATCAGCTCCCGGGGTCACCGCCTGCCCTTGGGACCATCAGATGGACCCGGGACTCCCCCACCCCGCCCCTTCGTGACCCTGTCACCCAGGGCTCCGGGGACACCCAGGCCAACAGGAGCACCCCTTGCCTTCTGCCCAGCAGAAAGGAGGACAGAGGCGGGCAGGACAGTGTCGCTCCCGGGACAGACGCTGCCCCTGGGGCCGAGAATCTAGCAAATCCCGGGCAACGAGAAATAGGCACGCTCGTCTCCCGGGTTCTGGAGGACAATGTCCTTGGGAACCCTTACCATGGGAGGCGTGGGCCGTGCCTCTGTGCACCTGTGCATCACACAAGTGTTTGCTTGGCCACAGGGACCTGGGCCTCTTCTGGGCGCCGGGTCTCCTGTCCCAGCCCAGAGAGCTCCGTCTGGGAGCTGGTGAGGAGCCTCCCGACAGGCGGGCAGAGCTGTGGCAGGAGTGCCCAGGGGGCCACGCGGAGAAACCAGAGCATTCCCACGTGGGCCCTTCTCCTCTGCCCATGGGATTTCCCAGGCAAGGATACCAGTGCGTTGCCACTTCCTTCTCCAGAGGAGCAGAGAATACCATCTACTAAAGTCCACGATGAACCACATTCACATGGCAGCTGACCAGTACAGTCCAGTTTGTGTGGGAGTCAGTCGCTCAGTCATGGCAGACTCTTTGCGACCCCGAAGACTGCAGCTCAAAAGGCTCCTCTGTCTATGGGATTCTCCAGGCAAGAGTCCTGGAGTGGGTTGCCATTTCCTTCTCCAGGGGATCTTCCTTACCCATGGATTCAATCCAGGTCTTCCGCATTGTGGGCAGATTCTTTACAGTCTGAACCATAGATTCAGTTTACAAGATGTCAAACCTTGCAGAGACCTCTTCACATAAGCCTTCTTTGTTTATTGCATTTCAGGTTTTAAAAATGAGATGATGGGTGGTAATGGCTATTTATATAGGGCTTCCCTAGTGGCGCAGACGGTAAAGAATCCACCTGCAAAGCAGGAGACCTGGGTTGGATCCCTGGGTTGGGAAGATCCTCTGGAGAAGGAAATGGCAACCCACTCCAGTATCCTTGCCTGGAGAATCCCATGGACAGAGGAACCTGGAGGGCTGCAATCCAGGGGGTTGCAAAGAGTCAGACACAATTAGGGACTAAATCACAAACACAAAAATGGCTGTTCATATTTATCTATTTTTAAAAAGACTTCTTTATTTTCAAAAGACAGGGAAAAAACCTTATTCTCCCAATACTTGTCAGGCTCCTGCCACACACCAGGTCCTAAAGAAGTGAGGCAGGAATGGTCCTACGGCCAGCCGAGCAGTTAACCTTGAGAGACACAGCAAAAGACAGTATCGATCAACTTAAAGGGTGGATGTAACAGAGTGAAGACGTGGGCTCTGTCCACTCAGGGAGAGCTCTTTTGTCCACAGCATCCTGACCTCACCTCTTCCTTCTTACCTGACCCAGGAACACATCCTGATCCAGGGAAATAAGTTCCCAAACAACCCGTCAATCTCGGCAAAGACAGAGGCGGCATCTCTAGCACTTAATCCAGGTGACTCGTCACGACCTCCCTCGTTTTATTTTTGGAACCCCTCTCCAGCAGCTCAGCCGCGACTCTGGAAAGCCCTTCCCCAAGCCATGTGGAGACACAGCCACCTCCCCATGAGGCAGATGCACAGGCACTGGCTGAGCTGGGGAATCTGCAGTTAATGGAGGTTAAGCATCTGCAGGAGATGCCACTGCCTCTTCCTTTTATTTCTCTCCATTTACTTGCTTTACTTTTATTTATCTTACTCTTTATTTTATTTACTTATCCTTATTTTATTTACTCTTTATTTATCTCTTTATTAATATCAGAAGATATTAATCTTCTATGCTTCACTTTTTTATGCTTCATATAATCATGGCTTTTTCCCCATTGTTCATGGGGTTCTCGTGGCAAGAACACGAGTGGTTTGCCATTCCCTCCTCCAGGGCACCACGTTCTCTCAGAACTCTCCACTGTGACCCCTCTGTCTCCGGTGGTCCTGCATGCCATAGCTACTAGCTTCATTGAGTTACACAAGCCCCTCTGCCATGACAAGGCTGTGAAGGAGTACAGCAAGGGTGCATATTGTCACCCTGCTTATATAACTTATATGCAGAATACAGCATGCGAAATACTGGGCTGGATGAAGCACAAGCTGGAATCAAGACTGCTGGGAGAAATATCAGTAACCTCAGATATACAGATGATGTCAACTCTAATGGCAGAAAGCCAAGAGGAACTAAAGAGCCCCTGGAGGGTGAAAGGGGAGAGTGAAAAAGCTGGCTTGAAACTCAACATTCAAAAATCTAAGATCATGGCATCTGGCCCATCACTTCATGGCAAATACATGGGGAAACAATGGAAATAGTGACAGACTTTATTTACTTGGGCCCCAAAATCACTGTGGACAGTGACTGCAGCCATGAAATTAAAAGACATTTGCTCCTTGGTAGGAAAGCTCTGACAAACCCAGACAGCATATTACAAAGCAGGGACATCACTTTGCTGACAAAGGTCGGTGTAGTCAAAGCTATGGTTTCTCCAGTCTTCATGTGTGGATGTGAGGCCTGGACGACAGAGAAGACTGAGCACCAAAGAGCTGATGCTTTCAGACTGCGGTGCTGGAGGAGACTCCTGAGAATCCCTTTCACTGCAAGGAGATCAAACCAATCAATACTAAAGGAAATGACCCTGAATATTCACTGGAAGGACTGATGCTAAAGAGGAAGCTCTGATACTTTGGCCACCTGAGGCGAAGAACTGACTCAGTTTGAAAAGCCCTGTTGTAGGGGAAGACTGAAGGCAGGAGGAGAAGGGGACGACAGAGGATGAGATGGCTGGACGGCATCACCGACTCGATGGACATGAGTTTGAGCAAAATCCGGGAGATAGCGAAGGACAAGGAAGCCTGGCATGCTGCAGTCCATGGGGTTGCAGAGTTGAACACAACTTAGTGACCGAACAGTAACAACAACATAATCATAGCTGGGAAGGAAAAGAGTTCAGTGTTACGAAGATGATCATTCCAAGGGGATTCTGCCGAACACCAGGATTTCACTTGTTTCCCAAAGAATGTTCTTAAAATCAGAATCTGCAGGAAATTGGAAAAGGTGTTTTCTCTGAGGAAGGCATTGTCAGTGTAGCTTTTGTTCAGTCGGGTATTGAAAGGACAGGCTCAGATCCATTTTCCTTGACCTCAGAAAGCATCTTCCATCGCTTCTGCTTCTGGGCACCTTGAGATTGGGGGAGGGGTGCTCAGTGAAGTCAGGGTCACACGACAGCCCAGATGGTCAAGCACAGCCTGCCCAGCAGCCCTGGGCTCGTCTGCGTGGGCGTCCAGGTCTCCATGACCGAGGACAGAGGACAGAGCTGATGCGGCTGCCACTGCGAATCCTCGGGAAACAAGTCCTGGGCAGCGTGTCTGACGGGAGCGGAGGGCTCCGTGCCTGTCCCTATTTCCACATCGTGGTTCTTTACTCCCCTTCCCCCAGTGGCTCAGACAGTAAAGACTCTGCCTGCAATTCAGGACCCGGGTTTGATCCCTGGGTCGGGAAGATCCCCTGGAGGAGGGAATGGCAACCGACTCCAGTATCCTTGCCTGGAGAATCCCATGGACAGAGGGGCCTGGTGGGCTACAGTCCATGGGATTGAAAAGAGACACGACTGAAATGGACTAACTCACACACACACACACACACACACACACACACACCCCTTTTCCAACCTTTCTAATTAATGGGAAGACAAACCACAACCACATAAACAGGTCTGCCTCCATGTGTTGGTAACTTTTTACCCCGAGAGACTGAAATCTTCACGTTCTTACTTCAATGAATGCCTAAAAACCATATGCAATTGCCATTTTTGAAGGCCAATGCATTTTGAATATTGCTAAGTTCATATGGTTCAAGTGAACATGTTTGCAGATACATTACTATTAATATAAATACATGTTGCTACCACATTGCCATGTGGAAAAGAAAAATAAAAATATTCTACCTTTTAAGAATGCCAAAAGGGAGATTTCACAAACAAGCAAATTTCCGTGGTCTGTAAGAGATTATCTAGAACACCATCAACATACTATTAATCCTACATGAAATCAACACGGGCCAGATTTCATCTTGGCACCAAGTCCTATGAAAAAAAGGGAAAATCTGATAAATATCCACATACCATACAAAAACAGTGACTTCAAAAAGCCAGGACCTTGTCCTGCTTAAACTCCGGGAAAGGCTGGCCTCCTGGTTTATCTCAGGGCCTCATGTTCTAGAAACCACAAGTCTGTATAACTTCTAACAGACACACCAAGGATGTAGAGAAATTAGCGTGGCCCTGGAATAACTTGCCCAGTCTCGTGAGAGATCTGCGGACATCCTGCAGTCCTATGTGAACAGACAACTGGTTCTCATTTCCTGGGAGAAATCAGTATTCATTCTAATTTGAAGGCGAAAAGGAAGAGAAATGAACAGCTCTTCTTCTTGGCTGCGCTGGGGCTTTGGCGCTCGGGTTTGCTCCGGCTGTGGGGCAGAGGCCTCCCCCGCCAGAGCACAGGCTCTAGGGTGAGGACTCAGTCGTTGAGACAGGCGGGCTCAGTCGCTCCGAGGCCTGTGGGACCTTAATCCCCTACCCAGAGATCGAGCCTGTGTCCCCTGCATTGGAAGGTGGATTCTTAACCACTGGATCCCCAGGGATGTCCTGAAACGAACAATTCTAGTGCACAGATTCATCACAGACAATCGCTAGATGGGAGTCATGTGCTATTGAAACCACAGAAGAATTATAGAAAGTAGTTCCTATTACGTCCATTTTATAGGTGGGGAAACTGAGGCTTGGAGAGGCAGAGTAACCGCACGGTTTACAAGGAGGGTGGGAGGTGACCCAGGCTGCAGGCCCCATCTCCCTGCCTCCCTGGGTGACACTTACGTGAGTGGGTCCCAAAGGGCTCCGCCGTCTTCACTGCTTTCTTCCCTGTTCTCTTAATTTTTTTCTTTCTTTTTGAAAAATACCTGTGGCGCGTACTTCCCAAAGAGGTATGGCTCAAGTTCAAGGACACTCCCCAGCACAGAGATACACTAAAGGCTCGTGGAAGCCACAGGAGGGAGGTGCGTGCCGCGTTCCCAAGCCCAGCTTGAACGTTTCAGGCTCCTGGCCACGCAGGGTGAGGCCACGGCCCCCGTTATCATGGGGCCTGCCGAGCGGGCGCTACCTTCTTTCCATCAGTTTGGGGCCACACTTCCCTTGGGCTCAGGGGGCACCTCTGCCATCTCTCCTTCGCCCTGACGTGGGCCCCAGCTGCAGCAGAATGAGGCCCACTTGGAGGGAACCCTGGACTCAACTTACCTTTCCATAGGAGCCTTGTCCCAACACTTTCAAGAGTTCAAACTGGGAAGGGTCGGCCTTTTCAAAGCCTGCTTTCACATGGTGACTGATATCAATCTCCTTCACAATGCCTTCTTCCTGCAAGAGAAGAGCGACAGAAATGCATGTCAAGGGCCTCCTCTGGATTCGCCCTCCTGTCAAGTTACCACGAGATGGGTAGGTTATGGATTTCCAGGATTGGGGTTAAGAGCTGTGATACCACAGCGCTTGGCATAATCTGCTGGCTTATTTGTACCAGTGATTCTGTTTGTGAGCCTTTAATTGTTTCCTTTCTCTGTAGAGTTGTGTTGTATTTATCTCAATGAAACCCATCCTGCATCTTAACAATTTGGGCAAAACTTTGATATGGAGGAAGGTGGGGACCACGGAACCAAACGAGCCTCTGAGTGTGTGTCTTGAGTGTCTACACTTCTGTGGCCTGAAGGGCCATCCACGGGCAGCAGTTGTCTGTGAAATAGGGATTTCTTTTCTCCTTCTCCTTCTGATTATTCTGCTCCCCCTTATATTCTTGCCAGAGCTGATGGTTCGTCTCTATCCCAGAGACTGTATTTCAGAAGCAGCAGCCACATAAGACCTTCTGCCAGCTTGGAAGGTTTCCCAGTAGGCGAAAAAGTCCTTGATCTTGAACTTAAAGCCCTGGCAGGAATCACTCCCAATGCTCATCAGAGACCTTCTGATGAGTGTCCCAGAGATGCACTGCCTACCTGTCAGCGGCGAGGCTGCCCTCCCACCACCAGCCACGGGAGACGCGGAAGTTGGAAAGGAGCGCCTTTCCTGAACTGATCTCTGTGCTTCTCCGAGACACCCTTTCCCGTCCATGCATCCTTCTGATCCTGCATCCACTACTATGGTTTTGGCCTTGGGTTACGTACTGAAAAATAGCAGGCAGGGCTGACTGCAAAGCACATCTAAAAACCGCCACCAGTAATCGCACGCATAGAGTGTTCTGGACAGCCGGACTTTCCAAACATTATTTCTTTTACTTCTTAAACAACTACCAAGTGAGACTTTACCCTGACTAAGGTTGCCCGGCTGGAAGTATAAGAGCTGGGTTTCCAGTCAAGAGTAACCTTAAAGTCTCAGGCAGATGAAGTCGTGACAGCAGCAATCCGGGCAGCAGAGGCCCCTCTCAGAGACGGGTGGAAAACTCAAGTTTCTCAGAGTTATAAACCTTGTGACTACTACTTCCATAGAGCCAACACCGGACACCTGTGGAAAGGGGAGGAAGGTCGCCTGGGCTGCAAGACAATTGTTTTTCATTTCTTTTTATTCCAGTGGTTAAAGGAAAACCTTCAATCTCCACATATTCAAGGATTCTTTTCCATTTTTGTAAAAAAAAAAAAAATCGTGTTTCTATTTGCGAAAACAATCAACGAATATACCCCAAATGGATCCTTTTGGGGTCAGTTCACAAAGCTTATATGTGCTCAGTTAAAACACAAAACATTTTAATGTAACAACTTCTTGCATATGGAGAAGGAATTGGCAACCCATTCCAGTATTCTTGCCTGGAGAATCCCATGGACAGGGGAACCTGGCAGGCTACAGTCCATAGGGTCACAAGAGTTCGGCAGACTTAGCAACTAAACCACCAGCATTCCTTGAATATGTAAGAGAGAGAGCACTCTGAGGGCATGGTCCTCCCCCCATGAGTAGAGATGACCTCTGAGTCCCGCTGGAATCCCAGGACCCCTTCAGCGACAGAAAAGGGCACAGCTTCTTCTGTAGGGAAATCTCTCCATTTACGACAGGGAAAAAGCGGAAAGTGTTAGTCATGCGGTCGTGTCCAACTCTTTGCGACCCCAAGGACCGTAGCCCACCAGGCGCCTCTGTCCGTGGGATTCTCCAGGAAAGAGCACTGGAGTGGGTAAGCATTTCCTTCTCCAGGGGATCTTCCTGACCCAGGGACTGAACCCGGGTCTCCCGCACTGCAGGCAGACGCTTTACCAGCCACCAGGGAAGGGGGAGGGAAAGGGGTGCCTCGGGGCGCGGGGCAGCACCTGTCTTCCCCAAAAAGACCGCGATCATCCGGGCGGTGCCTGCAGACCGACACCCACTGAGAAGGCGAGGCTGAAGTTCAAAGCGCTCGCCAAGTCCCTGATGAGTGATGCCGTGCAGGTGCTGCCTCCACCTCCACCGACTCACCGACCAAGAAAGAACCCGACGGCTACTTGTCACGGAAGGAAGAATAAAACACCCCCGTTCTGCCAAAGGGCTTCCCTGCTGGCTCAGCGGGTAAAGAATCCACCTGCAATGTGGGAGACCTGGGTTCGATCCCTGGGTTGGGAAGATCCCCTGGAGAAGGGAAAGGCCCCCCCACTCCAGGATCCTGGCCTGGAGAATTCCATGGACTGTATAGTCCGTGGGGTTGCAAAGAGTCAGACACGACTGAGCAACTTTCACTGCACTTGACATTTCTGTTAACACACAGCACCTCCCAGACCGCAGGCAGGACGGCACCGGGTCATCCAGCGTCCCCGACCCCCCGAACATGGCTCAGTCCTGCAGCCGAGACGATGCCACTCCCGCGGGTCAGCAGGGGTCACCGAGCGCCATCCTTCTGTGACTTCGTTTTGGTGCCTCAGCACACCAGCATTCACGCAGCTGAAGAGAAGGTCACCCTCAACACCAGGGGGAGCGCCGGCTGGGGGCGAGGCCGGGGCCTCAGGGAGATGCCCAGGAGGCAGATGACCGCTGACCCCGCGGCCCCGCTCCCGGGCCCTTCGGAGCGCACGTCACAAACGACCACGCTGTGCACCTCCAGAGTTCCCAGGTCATCCCTCTGCCTCCGCTTGGAGGAGCATGATGTCGCTCAGCCCTCCGGGGCCCCCTTGACAGACAGGTGCATCCCTGGAGGGTCCCCCCCCCAGGGCCCTGCTTCCCTCACCCCCCATAGACCAGCGGCCCCGAGCCCCAGCTCTCCCCCGCCCAGTAAACGCACCAGCCGGCCAGAATTCACCTTCCTGCGTCGTCACCGCCCTGACATTGCAACTGAAGGCTTAGAAGCAAATCTCTCTGTAACATTTCTTTTTGTGGGGATTCTCGCTGTCAAAGCTCTCAGAGCAAATGCACCAAAGCACACAGCTAACTTCCCCCTCGGGAAGGGCCTCAAAACCCCGGGCCGCTCCCTGATAGTACTGTGATGTTTCAGTTAACATCAGGGAGGTCTGGAACAGCAAAGAATCTCAGCGATCCACTGAAAAAGGAGCCAGGAGTTCCACATTTTAGATTTTAGCATCCTACACTCATAGTAACACTTATGGCCTGAACTTGCTTGAGATATTTTGTTTTCCTCTTTCCCAAGAGCTTAAAAAAAGATTCAAGGTCTGGAGACGTAAGCTGAGTGCTGTGTGAACAGGAAATACCCAGATGGGAGCTGGGGGAACATGTCTGGACTTGTCTGCTTCTAACCATTTCCAGAGCGGACAGTCGTGTTTTCTGAATCACTGTCTGATTACTGCCTTAAAGGGCAAACAGATTTAACGTATTACTTATGCCTCATTTAGAAATAAACATCTTTTCCCTCTTATGAGGAAGGTCACTTTTTCTAGAATTCTATGTGGATTTTAACGCCATTCCCTGAAGGACATAAAGTCTGGTCCTAAACTGTCTACAGACAGCACTAACATTTGGTTTCTAGCATAACTCCTATGAAGTGTATTTTTTTTTTTTTTACAAATAACCTGAGAAATTTGGGGGAGAGCCTGGTATCATGGCCAGGTGTGTGCTCTGCCAGCAAGGGTTTAAAAAATGATCCAATGATCATTTCAAAAATGATCCAGAGTAAGGAGTTGTTGAAATGACATCGATATGTGACAGACTAATTTGTGACAGTGAATTCTAGAATCCCCCATTGAACTGGGCTTGAATTCTCACCGATGGAAGACGTTCCCCCATGGGTATCGAGGCAGACAGGCAGTGAAGGGACCTGGCATCGGGCCAGAGGGGACCGGTGAGGTGTCCTCCAAGCCCCGCCCCGCGCCAAAGTCACCTTGGCAGGAAATTTCCTCCCTTCTGAATCATCCGCTTTCCATATCATTAAACGGGGGCGATTCATGAGAAGTAAATGCAGATCAAAATTGGCAGAATAGTAATGACAAAAACGTAGAAAAGAAAAACTGGGCAAGTGTGAGCTGGGTCTCTACCAAAGGCGGTGGGGCCATTCTAGAAATCACTGATTCTTGCGCAGGAAATTAACTCCCAGAAAGGGCTGAGAGTAAATGATTAAATAGGTGGCTTATGAAAACAAGAAAAGAAGAAGGAAATTGGCTAACTCTGACCCGCTCCCAGCAAGTCCTGCTGGGCCGGCCCTCACCCTCCTGTGGCTGATGATGGAGCAGGCAGGTGGGGAGGGGGCCAGGGAACCATGGCCTGGCTCTCAGGGGCCCGCTGACAACATGGGTCTGCAGAGGCTCACACCCCAGGGGACCCCCGCGGGACACCGTGGTCTTTCTCCCAGACCCCAAACCCGCTGTGCTGACCCAGGAATGACACCTTTCTGCAGAGATTCTCAGTGTAGCCACAGTGCCCCAGCATCAGACCCAGCAGGGAACCTGTTACAAATGCAGATTCCAGGTGCCAGGCCGGGGCTGTGGAACCTGTAATCTCTGCGAAGTTTGAAGGTCGGGGCTTCCCCGGGGGAAATACCGCACAAGTCTGCCCTCCCCACTCCCACCCTACCTACCACTGGCTCCCAGCCACATGCAAACAGGCTGTGCTGTCTGCATCCTTCTCAGCAAAACACAGACTTTGGGCCGCCCTGCCCCCGGCACCTGCCCCACCCTACACGGCTCACCGACTGCTCATCAATGCCCTCCGCGGGGCTGAACCCCATGGTCAGGCTTCAGTGTCTGCAGCGCCGGGCACCAGCCATCACCCCAGCTTCCTCACTTGGATTCGAGGACATCAGTCCCCCTGGGAGCTCCCGAGAGCTCTTCCTTTATCTGTCTCCCAGCATTGCCCCCAACTTGGTCCCGGCCTCTTCTCCCAGGCCATCACCTCCTTGGGACCTCATCCCATCTGGGGCTTCCGTGTCACCATCTAAATGCCGACGCTCAGGACTGGATCTCCCCCCGGGA